ATAACGTAGACATCACAAAACCCATCACATTTTAACGTTTTGAAAACGTCTCAAAACGCTTTTTGTTAGAATTTAGACTCACCCCGGGTCGCTTTGTTTGGCAGAGTTTCTTTAGTGTATGGACGAGTTCGTCGGTCTTTACTTCACGTTTCCGGTTCTTTCTTTTGCCTATTAGAAGTCAAATCAGAAAAAATCAAACCAAATTTGCTAATTTAAACAACTTTTTGATTTTATAAAGGTTAAAGGAGATAATTAACCTTTTCTAAAGGGTTTAGAGAAATATAAGAGAAAAAGATAGTCTTGAGATTGTAATGTGTGCTTCAAAGCCCATTCAAGAGCTCCTGTTGATGCAATCACTTTATCAACCACCACCATCACCCTATTCCCTGCCTCAATGATCTCTGCCTCTGCCGCTTCAACCGCCACTTCTGTCTCTTCGCGTTCATTTTTGCCACCGCTTACAACGCTAATTTTGCCATCATCTTGTTCCTCTTCTTTACCTTGTTCCTCTTCTTCAAATTCTTCATACTCGCTACTGTTTTCGCTATCGTTTTCCTCTTCTTCAACGCCATTGTCTCCTCGGAGAAACTCGATTCTTTGGTCCCTTTCTATGGAACTAGAGTCCGGATTGAAACTGATTGATGAAGAACGGATCCGGACATTTCTTAAGCTCAACTTGACTGATTTCTTGAGCGATCTTGCCATGTTTCTCCTATTACGAATCTTGATTCTAAACAACCATACATTGATCTTGATTATTATTGTTATTGTCCGTATAAAAACATACGTGCAAGAGAATAAAACCACAAAAGAGTGAGTTCCTAGGACGTGCTTACCATTAAAATATATTAATCCGAAGTTTAAGCACATAATTGCATGACTTGTAACAAATCTTTTATTAAATTTGAAGATCTGATTAACAAAATGCAACACACGTTACTTAGCTTCTCAATTACTTATTAATTATCTCGTTATATTATTTCATCTATTGTTGTAACCATCTCTAACGTGAGGATGATTGCAACTTGTGTCTCCACAACTTCTTCCAGAAATTCCCTGTTTTCTTCATATCCCGTTCGACACTCTTCAGACAGCGAGCCAGAGCGATACCATCCTTCTTCTTACCGTCCTCGCTCACATGTGCAACCATCGCAAAACCATATCTCACTTGATATCTCCATCGTCTCTTCACATCCATAAAACCGATATAAATCCGAAAACCGAGGAGGAGCTTCCTTAATCGCAATCTCCTGAGTCTTCAAACGAGCAAGCTTATCACTAAACATTTCCAACACATCTTTACCCTCAAGCAGATCCTCCCACTCTCTAGCAACCATTATTCTCTGTACTGGAGGTGGAGTTGCGTGATGAAACCGAGCAGCTAGCGAAGGCATCATAAGCTGATGCTTATACATAACCTTTGCAAGCCAAAACGTTCGTGCAACACCAAAAGGATGAGGAGCAATACGTAGAAGACACTCCTTATGCTCTCTCATCTTCATATTCCCAGTTTCCGGAATCTTCAATGTTTCCAAGTAAGAATTCCCAATCCGATTCATGTTTTCATTTCCTCGAACGTAAGTCTTATCCTTGCCCAAGTGCAATAACCCGAAAACCGCCAAGATATTGAGGCATAAGTTCAGAAGAATCTCTCCATACTTGTGTTCAAACTCAAGAACCAAAGATTAAGAAGGCATCTTAGTAGTATAAACTGCTTCCGCCTTAAATGCGCTACCCCGAGAAGGATAAATTCCTATACCTAATCCGTAAGCTCGAATCCAACCTCCAAGAGGACAGTTCCCAACAGAGCCATGATTAAGAGCTACAATCATTAGCAGAGTATATGGTTTCAGCTTGTTCTGCAAACGGACTCCAGGAACAGAGACATACATGCTTACGCAGTAAGGGGTCATATGAGTTTAATATTTGTTGGCTTAAGGGGTAATATAGTTTAATCAGATTAACCTATGTATCGATCGGTTACCCCCTGTGGTTAAAATATCTTTTCCTTCTCGAATCATCAGCCTAATTTGTTAGAGTATTCGGTTAAGGAATGGGTATGATGTTTTTTCATTAAAGCCAGTTTTGGGGATGTTTGGTGGGCTTGGGAAGTATTTTTTGCCATTTGCTTTGGGTTTCTTGTTAATTTTGGGCTTAAAGCCTTCTTAATCCCTTTTTGTTTGGTAAAAAAAAGGCTTCTTAATCTAAAATCAAAATTTAGTCGACAAAAAAGAAAAGTTTAGTCAGATAGACTTCTTCGTCAAAAGTTAAAAAAAAAATACATCAATCGATCAAATCTAAACAAATTCAAGATAATATGTGAAATCGAGTTGTTGTATGGCGATATTCGTAATCGTTGAAAATTGGCAGTTTGAGTATTTATTGCTTTCGGAAAAATCAGTAGATTAGGTTCTTAATCGAAGAATATTTGGTAGTTTTACCGATCGAGTGATGGTACAAGACGAATATCGCATCATATCGAATGCAAATATGTGGAAAAAAAACAACAGAGTTGATATTGTATTAGCGAATAAGACTTTTTGGAGAAAAACATCGTGAAAATTCATTTTTTTTGTTTTTAATTATGTAATTGATTATATTTTTCTTATTTGATTATATACTCTTGATTTTATATAAATAAAATATAGATGTTAAAATATATATATATAAATAAATAAATGTGAAATCGATTTATTACGAGAAATAAGGTGGTAAGCTAAGGCCCAACAGTGTACTTGGACAATAAGAAAGCGCATGCCCATTTGACCATACGTCCGATATATTTCCCCCTTTTGAAGCGAAATCACAAATCAGAGAGCGAACCCTAAATTCCCCTTTGAAGATAATGAACCCTAATTTCCGACCATGGCGCTGATTCTGAGGTCCGTCGTTGCGCAGACATCTCGAGGAGGGAGATTGGTTTTTCCTCACCGCAATTTTTATTCGAACCGTTGTAGATGTGGTAGCGTTTTCGGATTCTAGATGAAAATCTATAAAATTCTCGATCTCTGATCGTAGGGTTTCCATGTATTCATTTGCAATTGTTTTTTCAACTGTAAGGAGATTGAGATCCAAAGGAGAGGATGGTACATGCTGTTATCTACGCATGTTTTGATGTATCCATCAACATGTTATAACCCTCTGATCGATTTGTGTCTCTTCTTTTGAAATTGCAGGAGGAGTCGGAGATGTGATGGCTCGCGCATTGGGGGGAGGTATAGGTTTGGTCTCCTTTGTTTGTGGTAATGCTTCCGTACAATATTTT